AAGGGAGAAGGTGAAGTATCAACGCCCTAAAACTTCTGTTGTGTGGCAATTTATGACTTTAGATAAGGAAAACTCTATTGCTATTTGTTATAAGTGTAAGCAACCTTTTAAACATAAACAAGATGGAGGTCAAGGTGGGACGGGAGGCTTAAATAGACATTTGTTATCTTGTGTGCTGATTCAATATAAAGAAGCTAAAGCATTAGCCGATAGAAAAAAGGAATTCCAGTTAATGATGTTGATATTAATGTTAATGAATCGGTAGGGGCTTCTAACATGGTTCAAGGAACATTAGATCCTTCTAACCCAGTGGTCCACTAACACAACGTAAATATGACAAGGAAAGAGATCGCGAAAATTTAGCTAAAATGGTTTCTGTTTGTGGTTTGCCTTATAGTTTTCCTTCACATCCCGATTTTATTGAATATATTCCACAAACTTATAATCCTTCTTTTAAAGGTTTTTCAAGAAATATTGTTAAAGCTGATGTTTTTTTATATCAAAGTAAACATTGTCAATATCTTCGTTGTTTGTTTAGCATATTAGATTGTAGAGTGTCTATAACTTTGGACATGGGTCGTAGTGTTAATGGACATGATTATTTAACTATTACAGCACATTGGATTGGATTGATCATAACTAGAATTTGCAAAAAATAATCTTAAGTTATAAAGAATGTGGATCCTCAATATAAATTACTAGGTGTGCATGGACTTGTTGAAACTTTTTATGATACTTTAGAAATTTTACCGGAAGAAATTCCAACTTGTGAAATGTGTAAGTCTAGCATAAAAGTAGAAGCAAAAATTTTGTATGAAAAATATAGAACTATAGGAAATACTCAAGGAGAAGTTGGTCAAAACTTCTAATCCTCAGAGTAAAGATCGAATTAATAGTTTTATGCGAGGTTTTCTTGGTCTTAATTCTACTAACCGTGATGATTTTTGAAGAATATCTTAATCAATCTTTTAGAAACAGTACCATGCAAAGCAAAGCCGGTATTTAAGTGGAGAAGGTAGAGGGGCGGGCCCATTATCCACCGAGTTTAGAAGGCTGTGATTGGTCCAAAGGGCTGGTCACAAACGAATTTCTTGGTTAAAAAAAAAAATCTTTAGAAACAATGGACGACGACGATGGCAATGTAGAAATATTAGCATGGTGGAAGAGGCGGCGGAAGAAAGTTTGGAAACATCAGTTTTATTTAGAGATTGGGTCAACATCGAGAGGAGGAATTATAATTTGCCAAAGTTAAGTTCCAAACAAGAAGCTTGGATTAATGCGCTAATTGGATCTAGTGATGATGAATTAGAGTCACACGAGTTTCTAGCAAGTTTGCCAACACCGAAGGATGTTACCGTCGATATGATACGACAATTAGAATTGAATTTTAAAGGAGAATACAAATATTAGATTACATCCGAGAACTAATTGAAACAGAACCCTTCCTAGAAGATGACTGCGTAAATTAGTTACTCCTCTAATATTTGTAACAAAAATTAGTTTTACATATTTGAACTTATTGAAACAGCACCCTTCCTAGAAGGTGGTTGCGTAGATTACTCCACTAATATTTGTAAATTGTAACTTCTAAGTTCTAAGTTGCAATTAGATTTTATTGAATAAATTTGAAGGTTTTATTCAAGTCTTTTTTATACAACTATTGTCTTGCATTTTAAATTTCAATATATACATACATATTTACATATATACTAAACTAACTTTAAAATACTTAATTTAAAAATTGAAATTTGACATTTGAAATTTCAAGTTTAAATACTGTTACCTTTGTCAAAAAAAAAAATTCAAGTTTAAATTACTTTAAAATATTTAAAATACAATTGAAAATTGAAGTTTGAAATTTGAAAGTTGAATTTGAAATTTGAAATTTGAAATTTGAAATTTGAAATTTGAAATTTGAAATTTGAAATTTGAAATTTGAAATTTGAAATTTGAAATTTGAAATTTGAAATTTGAAATTTGAAATTTGAAATTTGAAATTTGAAATTTGAAATTTGAAATTTGAAATTTGAAATTTGAAATTTGAAATTTGAAATTTGAAATTTGAAATTTGAAATAATTAGTTTTACATATTTGAACTTATTGAAACAGCACCCTTCCTAGAAGGTGGTTGCGTAGATTACTCCACTAATATTTGTAAATTGTAACTTCTAAGTTCTAAGTTGCAATTAGATTTTATTGAATAAATTTGAAGGTTTTATTCAAGTCTTTTTTATACAACTATTGTCTTGCATTTTAATTTCAATATATACATACATATTTACATATATACTAAACTAACTTTAAAATACTTAATTTAAAAATTGAAATTTGACATTTGAAATTTCAAGTTTAAATACTGTTACCTTTGTCAAAAAAAAAAATTCAAGTTTAAATTACTTTAAAATATTTAAAATACAAATTTGAACTTCGCAAATTTGAAACTTGAAACTTGAAGCTTGAAATTTGAAATTTGAAAACTTAAGCATTTTTTATTAGCTAAAAATGTTATTGAAAACCAAATAAACTAAAAATGTTATTCAATAACATATAATTTCAATACAAATAAACATATAAAAAAAAAATCCCACGTCCCGTCCCGCCAAACCCCGTCCCATCCCGTATATATAGTGGGACGGGATGGGACGTATTTTTGTCTCGCCAATCCCGGTCCCGGCCGAATCCCGGCCTAGGCATCCCCCGTACCGTCCCACAGTCCCCGTCCCCTTGCTAGCCCTAGTCCCACGTGTGGCCCCCCTTCTCTTCCTTTTACAGTTGTATCCACTTGTTCCTCTGATGCAAAATCCCTAAATTGATGGGATTGTACTTTTCCACAGGCTTTACTACCGACTTTACCACAACCTTTACCACCTTCAAACTGCTGTGTAAAGGCATGTACTGGGTATTTATGTGCTCTATCTTCTCCGACGACTCTATTTTCAGTTTGCAAAGATTCCGGTTATAACTCTACTTTGACTTGGCACTCAACCCATATCGGAAAGTGGAATATTACTCCATTTCTGGAGATTGAAACTTCTTTGGGAATGTTTCTTCCATCATTTGCAACTAAAATTCTTGCCCACTTCATATGATTTCTTAGTTTTGTTTCCTCCTCAGTGGCCACCCAACCTCCGCATAAGTTTTCGATTTCTTGAAATACTCTCCCCGACCAGAGATGAAGGGGGATTCCAACAACTCTGATCCATGTTTCCATCTTCAGAGTATTATTGGGGAGACAACCCACCATCGAATTACACCATTCTAGATTGAATCTGTGATTCTTCCAGTTCCACTGCCCTTGGAGGTTTGTTCTGCCATGTTTATGTTAGGGAACTCGAACAGAAACATACCTCCATATATTTCATAGATGTTAACTCCAAATGCCTTTTTCCAGAGTGTTGACGACCATCTTCTTATCTCAGGCAAAGTTGGCTTTTCCTTCATATGTCCTTCCAGATGACCTACTAGGCATCTTTCTAGAAGCCCATTCTCTTGGTCTTCAGCATGTGTGAAGACTTCAATAATGCTAGCATTGTTCGTAATCTCTGCCTCCTTTATAGTCTTTGATTGCCATTTACTATCCTTAACTGCTTTTGCATAAGGGTAGTTGGCTTTGGTTATTCTAGGAGGTCCTGGCACTTCCATTCTTTTAGAGCATTTAATGAACCTTTCAATTTTAAATGCTATATCGTGCCATCCCGCATTCAAGGCTAATTCTAGGATGACCAGTATGGACCTACCCCCATTATTGATGGAAATGATACTTATAAATCTTCCATGTTCATTATGTTTCCTAGTACAGAAATGCTCTGCCTCTCTTTCTGCAGTTTTCCATCTTCTGATTGTTTTCTGGAAGCTTCTCTGAGAGTGAAGCAGATCCATTCCATGGTTTTGCTGCTCATGGAAGATCTCCTCATCATCTTTCTACTCCTCTCAACCCATTCAAACCACACAGAGCTGCCAGTGCTCCATTTAGTGAGGTCGAAAGACTTAAAACCAGCATTGAAATAAATCCTATTGTCACCCATTGCAAAGTCTGAAAGAAGGATCTGAATCTCGGAAAACTATCACGTAAGGTAATAGTTAAGAAAGGTAATGAAAGGGAAGGAATGGAAATGAAGGTTCCGGCGAGAGAGTGCCAGAAAAAGAGACCCTCCCCCACTAGGAAGCAGGGGAGAGAGTTACCTCAGGACAGGTGCCTGGGAGCATTTTGATTCTATTTTAGTTTCCGTCCAATCAGCCTTTAATATCTCTCTTTATCAATAAGAACTTGATTAGAAAGTTCTTGGAGACAATAATTTTGCTCAGTAGGAGTATCAATCAGCTGCCACTCAAGCATACAATATCCTTCCAGTCTCCGTCAACAAATTGAAATGATGGATATTGATTATAGAAGCAACTCATTTACCTGGTCCCACGCAGAAGCGTATCCACGTTATACCAAGCGGTGTCACGTAACACCACTTCCTCCTAAATTTTTAATAAATAGGTAGATAAATAATACACAAAACGTAAAGTATATATAAGGAATGATGACCCTGGTTGCCATAAAAGCTTCCAGTTCTATCAACTGCCTGAATGCCCTTCTTGAGGACTTGAGTTCTATCCTCTGCTGCATCAATTTTTTTTGGCAAATTTTGGAGCCTTTTTTGTTTGCAAGTAAGGAGATTGTAAAGGATTGAACTCCTGACCTCCTCGGAAATAAAAATTTCAATTAAACCAGTAAGCCAAAGCCCGTCCCAACAAACTTAGGGGAAAATATATGGTATTACATTAATTAGTTTATTTGTTTTCTTCTTTAAATATGGAGACTGCTAGCAAAATATTGTGTACACCACTGGGTCCATTACTCCATTATAAGTTATTTCTTCCTCAAGACAAACATCTAACGTGTCATTGAGGATGAGATAGCTGTGAAACAGCATGCGCTAGAACTTAGAAGAATCACTCAAAAGGCTAGGCACCAAAGAAGGATCAGATAAGAAAAAGTAACATGTTAATACCTTCCATCCAGGCGCCTGTATGTAACACCAATAACATCTAGGGTCCACTCCAGGATATCAAGCATTGATGTCCACTGGCTAAAAATAAGCACTCGATGACCAGAAAGCTTTAATGAAGGGAGAAGTTTGGCTAATTCCTGCACATGGAGCACTTGAACTATTTTGAGCAAATACAGTAGAACTTAAAATGACTACAAGAAATCAGAAGGCCTGTGAATTTAACCTGACATTTAGCTGAAATCATAACACGTTCATCTGACAGCACTCCCTTATTACTATCGCCATAATAAAGTAAAAGCTGCAAATAATAGAAAAATACAAATCCAAGTGATCATCCAGAATAACTAAGGAATAAAGAGCTCAATAATTGTAAAGCCCCGCACTTTTGGGCTAAGGTTTGAACCGTTCAACGTATTTAATCTGACCCAGGAAATTTGCTTGAGCCTAGGTGTAAAGGTCAAGGTTCAAGTGTATCACATGTTTAAGAACATGAGCTTTAAAAGTTTTAATTTCTTTCATAAACTTCGTGTTGAGCCAAACTATGACAAACAAATTGGAATAGGGGAGTGTGGAAGAAGCCATGATTAACCTAATGCATGCAAGCAGATACGTTTGTAAGAAGAAAAATGAGTGAAATAAAAGAAAGTATACCTTGTGGATGGAGAAATCATTATAGCTCTTCAGCTCTTCAATTACTCTGTCCACTGTACATTCAAAACCAAAGACACCTTTGGGATGCATAACTCTAGCAATTCGAACAACATCATCATCTGTATAAATACGCCTCACAAGCAGAGGATGGTTTGCAATCTGAAGAAACCATAGCATCATTGGTCAAAAATCAGGAGTTTTGACAATAATAATTCAGGTGGATCAAGAAGCTTCAGCACCTTGCGGAATTCAAGAAAATAATTGGAAATTTGTCGTCTCGAAAAGACACCAGCAGCATTATTCAAACTAACAGGTTGCTTTGAAACACGAGCTAGAGATGCAGCACGGTAGCTTTCAATCGCTTCTTTATATGCATCTTCTTGCTGTTTCTCCATGCCAACATAACGAACCTGCAGCAGAAAGTTCTTTACTCTCATATACTGAATCGAACATGTAAAAGTTGTAGTGATTACAGGCAAACCCATGAATAGCGAAGTCTAAACATGAATAGACCAAAGATGGAAAAGCTACCATAAAGGAAAAAAGAAAACAAGGAATGAACAAAATACATACCATCTGTATTTTTGGTACCAGTTGTTTCATCACATCCGATTTTAATCTTCTCAAAATGAAAGGTCCAAGAATGGACTTTATTCGAGCAATTAACTCTTTATCTTCTGCATTCAATAGTTTTTTCAAGTCAACATCTCCTGTTTCAAATAGATCAGGCATCATAAACTCCAAAATTGACCACAGTTCCTGCAATAGAAAACCACTAACTGAACAACACATAATCAAACATAAAGATAAGCACTAATTGTGAAAACAGCGGCCAAAGCAGCAGATATGGCACAAAAGAAACATTACAAATAAAATAGCAAAGAAAAGATATTTTTTAAAAAATAAATATATATATATATATGTATATATGCCAAAGGTACTTGTACTTACTGAGAAATGTACAGCAAACACATGAAATTTTACTTACTGCCATGCAATAAAAATACTTAGTTGTACTTAGTGAGAAGCCATAGAATAGAAATACTTAATCGTACTTACTGAGAAGCCATGGAATAAAAATACTCACTTGTACTGCTGAGAAGCCATGCAACAAAAATATCAGGCTACCCAACAATCGAAATTAAAAGTTGTTTGAGAAGCCAAGTAATCTGAGTTTCAACTGTGGTTGATAAAAACTTCAAAACCCTAAATTTAGAATGACTTATCCTACTATCCACAAAAAAAGAGAATAGAGAATGAGCACTCATCACCAATAGAATCTACTCAGGAAATCAAGTGTAATAGAGCTAAAATGTCTCGTCGGACTTAAATATTGACAGTTTTTTCATCACATCCAAACATGGCAAAATGAGAAAAGATGAGGAAAAAATATATAATTGTTAAGATACAAGTATGACTAAGTAACGCCACTAACTAGAATTTCTAACTTATTGCTTTTGGCTTATAAGTCATAAGCCAAAAGCCAATCCAAACAGGCTCTAACTCACATTAAAGAATGTCCCTAACAAACATTAATTCTGACATATGATAACATACATATAAGAAGTACAAATGCATTATAAACGACAAATCCTTTAGCAGTTTAAAACAAAAGAGTTGACAGCTATCATACATGCAAATCATTTTGTAGTGGTGTGCCAGTGAGCATTAATCGCTGGTTAGCATTACGTGCAACAGACATTAAGTTTTTCCACCTATAGCTGCCTTTATCCTTTAAAGCATGAGCCTCATCCATTAGCACACAGCTCCAACGCCAGCGCTTCAGAATTTTGCGGTCATCTTTTTGCTGTGCACTGCAAGATTAAGACACAGGTCTAAGCCTCAATGACAAAGATATGTACATACTAGCTATGCTTCATTTGAAACAACAACAAACCCAGTGTAAGCCCACAAGTGGGGTCAGGGGAGGATAGGATGTACGCAGAACTTACCCTTACATTTGTGGGGTAGAGAGGTTGTTTCAACTAGACCCTCGGCTCATCAAAAAAAAAAGAAAAAAAAAAGCTCTCAAAGCAGAGCTAGGCTTGATTCAAAAATGAACGTTTAAAGACTTCTTTTCAACAAATATGAAAGTTTAAAGATTTTTTCTATATTAAGAAATCGTTTTCAAGTTTGAACCACTTGGAAAGCAAATTCCGTCTTCTTAAGTAAAGATCATAATCAAACATATACTAGAAAATAAGAAATCAAAATAGATTGAATGGAAAACTTTTAAATAGATTAACACCCCACTTAAGACTAAAGTGCAAGTATATACAGGGAATCCAAAAAGTGAGCTCATACACTAAGACTAGATGCCGGAGCTCATGTTAGCACGGGCCCAACATATGTTAATAAATTTATTTCTATCCAATTATAAGAATCTTTCAACATATTTCATGACGCTTTTTATAAAGTAACATGTGAAAAGATAGAAGTTTTGACAGCAGGGATTCAACAACTTATGATATAGTGTATCTTTTTTTGTTTCAGATTTATGTGACCTTGCTTCTTTTTTGAAAGAAATATGTTACTAGTCACTTTTTTAAATGCTAAACAAACCTTAACTAACATTTCAAAACTAATTGAACTTTAATTACTTTTTAAAATCTGAAAACATCATTTAAACTATCATATACCCCTAGATTAAAACGTGAAAATCTTAAAAACATCACATATATGCACAACTTGAAAAACAGAGCCTCCAGAAATGTTCTTAGAGTTGGTATTAACATGGTTCATACTCCAAAAGATATTTATAAAGTTTGAAATATGCAGTTCAAACTCTAGGTATTATTAGAAATCATAATGTCTCATATATATGGTAAATATATGTCTATTGTGTCATATAACATGGACATAGATGTGGTATAAAATACTCTTTCTATCCTTATTTTGCTTGAAATATAATAATCATGTATGTACTATAAAATCATCTTGGCAATTTTGATGCTTCATAATTAACTTAATACATAGAAAAATGCCTTTTTGACAACGTAATACTTATCTTAGTTTCTTTTTAGAAATTAAAGATCATGCATAATTTATTTCATCAATTGTAAGTATATTTAACTAATTTGACCACAAAATTGCAGTTAGTGGCGTTACTTAGTCATACTTGTATCTTAAGACATTACTCCTTATTTATCACAAAATTTGATCAGTTGTAACTTTTAAAAAATGAAGCTTGATAAGAAAATATTGATTTCTAACTAAAAAAGTAATTTTGAAGAAAAAGGATCCTTTACCAATATCTCTCTATCTATTTATCATTAACACCAACTACAGAGACACGTCGAAGCTATTATTGTAGGATATACTACAAAAAAACCAATGAGAGAGACAAGAAAAAGCTGCAACTGTCACATAAAAGCTTAAAAGGGATCCCACTTTTTTGATGAGTCATTCAAAAAGCCTGCAAATGAAGCGCATAGTGTAGAAATCCAAGTGAGGACCCACATTTTCAGCAAAGTCACTTATGCACTTTATTGTCCAAGAAAGAGAAAGTACGCACAAGACAACTGAATACAACATCTTTAAACCAAAAAAATTCGGAAATACCAAAATCGCCAATGCATCAGCAAGTAGGCATGTCACCTGCTTCTAGACTCTTATATTTAGTAGTAAAATACAGTGAAACTGTCATCTTTAGCCTTAAGATAATTTGACATGCAACAACATCATTCTTCTGTTGCCTTAATTTTCAATAAAAAAAAAATCTCCAAGAAATGGCAAAGACTTGCTTTTCCCATTGCCTCAATTTTCACCTTCAAGCGGTGAAATTCAAAATTGAGAGGTTCTACAATGGAAAGAACAGCAGTAGAGTATCTTCAGGAATAGGACACTGAGATTTGATTTTCAGCAAACAAAACAGAGGCTCTTAACAATGGATTTGCCTCCACTGATAAAAATTGAGATGCATAGACCATTAATCCAACTAGCCTTTGCAAGTTGACCAGCTTGGGAATATAAAATCTAATCTTCAGTCACTGATGTTTTTTTTTTCCTTCTCAAAAAAATAATAATTCTGGGGCTACTTGAATGCATTTCTTCTAGCAGTTCTTTCAGAGGCATATAGCAGAGGTTTCATGCTGAAGGAAAAATATGAAATCTAAAACACCTTACAGTGATAAATGACTAGAACATACCATAACCACAGACAATTGGATGGTACATTCCACTTCAATGCAAACTGAAGGTCATAAAATGATGTGCAAACCTGTGTCGTTCAAAAAGCGAGTAGCACACTAGGATAACGTTAAATGGAGGTGGCTGTCCAGTCCTAGCAAGAGAACTCAAGTCTTTTGAGTAAGCTGATCGTGCAGAACCATGATATTGGATCACAGTAAATGCCGGACACCACTTTTTTAGCTCTCTTTCCCAGTTCTCCAAAACAGAGGCAGGACAAACAATTAAATGAGGACCAGGATCATCTTCCAAATGCTTCAGCAATGTTAAGTATGTGATTGCCTAATAATGAAGAATAAATCCATCATTACCTATCACTTAAAGTCAAAATAAAAGAAATAACCTGCATCAATCAGAGAAATAAAAAGCTAGAACTGTGCATACCTGAATGGTCTTACCAAGACCCATTTCATCAGCCAGTATAGCTGCACAAACCAGCCCCAAAAAGTTTAAAGTTGAAGTACAAGACCCCACAACAGGGATGCATGTATGTACATTTGCCAAGCTATAATTTGATTATTGGTAGCATATCTTGGTCAGAAACATTAGGCTTTATGTCTATATGTACAGGCAAACAAAATGCTGGTCATGACTATTAGCTATACGCTAGAAACATGTTCATGAAAAATATAAAGGCTATTTAGGTGATGTGAATTTCCCTTGTAAACCAGCATAGGAAACGAGTAGTTTTCCTGTAAACCTTTGGGAAGTACTTTTAATGCATATAAAACAGATCAGACTCAGTATAAAAAACATGGAGTAGCAACAGTCTTGTTATTTTGTATGAATAACTTAAAACTGAATGGAATAATGTACTTTAAGCTTTAACTTATTACTTAGATATTGAGGAACACTTACGATCTCGATCCATCAACCAATTATGCAGAGATTATAATACAGGGATCACTTGTGTGATGACTAATACTGAGAAGATTGTTATGAAGTGAATAACAATTAAGGGATTGTCATATGGTTTGAAATAATACAGAGGTTGTCATTCAGAGATTGCCTACTTTTGGTTTTTAGATAACTGATAAACTACAGAGGGCTAGTGGTGTACGGTTCGAAACTTGATGGATAGTGGACCCACACATCACGTACTGCCCTCTTACTAGCATTATCAAAGGCACACCTATATTCTGAAGCTAGGTTCAAAACATGTGGAGCGGTTTGCCTCACTTTATGTGCAGTTCAATGTCATCATCAAGGTTTTAAGGCATACTTTTCCTTGCCGATGAGCCTGTTTTGAAGAAGCGACACTAAACAATTGATATTTCACTTAATCATTAAGAAAAATCAATTTCTTTGTTCATATATTTGTCATTCATGCTTATAACTATTAGAATAGGAATAGGAACAAGAACATATATATATAACTATTAGAATAGGAATAGGAACAAGAATATATATATTTTATTTTATTTTGAGAATTGGAAAACAAGATTTTATATATATATATATATATATATATATATATTTCCACTTAGAATAGAAATAGTATATAGAATCCTACTTGGAAAAGGATTGTATATAGTGTCCTAGTTGGAAAAGGAGTCTAATGTAGCGTCTATAAAAAGGGTCTCAATGTAATAATGTAGATATACAATACAATAATATTCTTCTCCAATACTTTCTCACATGGTATCAAAGCTTCTACGATCCTGATAAAGAATTGAAAGTGCTTCCGTAGCCGACGGGCAGTTATAACTCATATAGCCGTCCGTCTGGCCAATGATTATGTTAGCAAAAGTTGAAGCAATACTATATACATGAAAAATAATCATGCTGAGAAGGACTAATTTGAGAAGCATCCAGGACAAAGAAAGTAGCACAATGCTTCTTTCTAATGGCTTCTAAGATCTGATTTGTTTAAAACTGTGCAATCTTTCTGATGACTACTTTTTTATATCCGATTTGCATAGCACCATGCATCTTTCAAGCGACTACTTTCTCATATCCAATTTGCGCAGCACCATGCATCTATCCGATGACTACTTTCTCATATCTAATTTGTGTAGCATCGTGCATCTTTTTTATGATTACTTTGTCTTATCTAATTTGTATAGCACCGTGCATCTTTTCTAGTGGACTTTCTCTATCTAATTTGTGTAGCACAATGCATCTTTCCGGACAAGTTTTTTATATTTTAGTTGCATAGCATCGTGTATCTTTCTATGACTCCTCAAATTTGATTTGCGTAGTTCCGTGCATCTTTTCGATGACTCCTCAAATATGACTTACGTAGTTCCAATTTTTATCAATGTTGTGCGAAATCCAACACCACCTCAAGGTCCAACAGCCTCCGGCGACCAAAGCCCAAGAAATGTCGCCGATCGCAAATCCCTCACACCCGGCAAATCTAGGGTTCTATCAATCGTGTCAGTACATGAACCAGTCCAGTCAATTTTCTAACAAATTTCTTGTTCAATATCGACTAATCTCTTGATTTTGAGACGATCAATATATTTTATACTAGATTTCGAGCACTTTCCCGTGACCGTTGCATTGTTTCTGGCAAATGATTTGCCAACAGAGTTCTCTCCGTTTCAAATTTACTTGTGCCATTAAATGGGTAAACTCAAATATTTGGGTTGAATCACAGTGATACTTTCTATCCTATGATTAAACTAACATATGTCCGCCTTTTTCCATTTATGATTGTCGTTCTCCATTGGCCTTTAAATCAGTTAAGCATTAGAATGTTTTTCTCAAAGATGATCTCGATGAATAAGTCTATATGGAGCCACCACCTGATTTTGTTGCTCAAGGGGAGTTTAGTAGTCTTGTATGTTGATTGCACAAGTCACTTTATGGTCTAAAATAGTCTTCTCAAGCTTGGTTTGGACGTATGTCGATTGTGCTGATCACTCTGGTCAGAATTAGTCTTCTCAAGCTTGGTTTCAAAAATTCAGCATAATAATTTAGGAGTTTGGCAGGACTCATAGTGGAACTGATCATTTTGGGTCTAATCAACATTCTGCATCAAATCCTGCATTTCATGAGAGGACTAAGCACATTGAGATTGACTATCACTTTGTTAGAGAAAAGATACTCTCAGGAGATACTATTACAAAATTCGTGAAGACTAGTGAGTGATCATCTTGTAGACGTCTTCACCAAGTGCCTCACCGGTCTTTGTATTAATTACATCTATAACAAGATAGATACATATGACTTATATGCACCAGCTTGAGGGAGAGTGTTAGAATAAGAATAGGAACAAGAATAGTGTATAGAATCACACTTGGAATAAGAATAGGAATAAAAATAGTATATAGAATTCTAGTTGAAAAAAGATTGTAATGTAGTGTCCTAGTTGGAAAATGAGTCCAATGTAGTATTTATAAATAGGGTCTTAATGTAATAATGTAGATACACAATTCAATAATATTCTTTTCCAATACTTTCATACATTAACTATTAGTCTTGGACTAAACATATATATTTGTATTTTGTTCTCTTTTTGCGCCTTTTTCAATTAAATCCCACGCTTTATTTGTGCTTTGCGCTTATATCACAATGGATCTTAGAGCTTGCTTGTGCTTTACTTTTGATAACATTGTCTCTTACCACTATACCAAAGCTCTGAGCTTGCCAATGTACCACTGTCGTCCCATTCTTCCATGAGTTGGAGTGCATCCATCTTATTCACTGAACTAGCTTTTTTGATGATGAAACTTATTCACTGAACTAGCTAAAAGCTATCACTTCAGGTAGAGGGTTGAATATAATGCCTACATTAAGAGTTTTTTGCCTTCAAAAAACACTCTTATTCTTGAATTGCTATTACACTTCTTACTCTGTTTTATTCTACATATTTTAACATGTGTTAAAATATAACATGTACATACATTCGAAACGATGAGTTTTACACAACCAACAAAATATTGCATTAGCTATGTGAAGTTTAATACACCAATCGAACACTACATTAGTTATTAATGGACCAACCAAATATTGTACTCCCTCCAATATATGAGGCAATTTGACTAGGCACCGAATTAAAAAAGTGAAGAAAAAAAAAGACTTTAAAATTTGTGATCTAAAATAAGTAATAGATGTTTGTGTGACTAAAAATCATTTCATTACGAGTAACACATACATTTAAAGTTAAATTATTACTAAATAGAAAAATGTGTCATTCTTTTTTAGATATTGTTAGAATAGAAATAAGTATTTCCTACTTAGAATAGGAATATGAATAGGAATAGGAATAGGAATAAGAATAGGAATCCTAGTTGGAAAAGGATTCCAATGTAGTGTCTATAAATAGGGTCTCAATGTAACTATTTAGAAATACAATTCAATAATATTCTTTTCCTATATTTCTCACATGGTATCAAAGCATTGGTGAGAACAAACAAGTCACCGTATGTCTATGTCAATTTCCGGTGACTGTTGGATCTGATTTTGCTATTCTTTTTTCTTTCTGTGGTGTTGTGCGAAAACCAACACCACCACGAGGCTCGGAAAGCCCCCGCGACCAAACCCCAGCCAAAACCACCGGAAAACATCACCCCACGCGCTCTCACGCGCCGATCG